CTACCCGGGCAGCCGCCCTTCTGGGCTTCAAAAAAAGCGGCTGCCCAGCCCGCTCCGTGCGCCCGCGGGGTGCGGTCCCCGGGTGGGAGCTGAATGACCTTTTGGTTAAGCCTTCCCAAAGCGTAGCGGGCTTCCCAACAGGAATAGCTGGACATAATGGAGTATAAATGAACCAAATTCACTATCCTGCTTTAAGCGAGAGATGCTAAGGCAGGCGAGCAGTAGGTGGTGGGTGGTGCTCCTGTGTTTGTTTTACTTGTTCCCTTGTCCACGGCCTTCACACCTGCAGAAACTTTTTATTGTCACTGCTGAAGGTTCCGAGGTCAGTACATTGTGAGAAAGTATGAATTTTTGGGTTGAAACTTAGTGAGCAATATTAGAGATTCAATGTAAAAGTTGTGTTCTCTGTAATGGTAAATATCTGAAAATATTAACATAACATGAAGTCAGTAAGTTTACAAAATGCCTCTTCAAGGGAGAGGTCTGTGTGTCTGTAGCAAAGCTGTGGTTTCAAGTTTCTAAGTTCCTTTATTCTTTAAATGACTTGGCTTGATGTTATTCAGCTTTGCATTTCAGCATGTCAGTTATTAACATTTATTTTGAAGACTTTGTTGTTTGTTTTTTTTGAGAGCTTTTAATCTTAAAGCATCTACAACTTCCATCTGGATGAATAGGTTGGTGGATTAGTTCTGTAATGGTGCATGATTCATCCCTCTCTCAAAAGAGAAACTTCCTCTGCTCTCATGCTCGTACTGTGGCACTTTTGCTTTCCTTCTCACTAATTAAATTGCATATTTTTGGGGGTAAAGAAGATACTATCAGGAAATTAATGGGTTTTTTGAGAATCAAGCAGTAAAACTGGTAATAGTGTTTTCTTAAGCGTCTACATAAAATGCAAAACAGAGATGTTAAAAAAACATTTAAAGCCTAAGACTAGCAAATGTTACAGCTCTCTTGTTTGTGCATTAAATCTGTGATAATGTTTGTGGAAATAAGTCCAATTACGGCAGTGCTCACTGAGTGGAAAGGATGGCTCTGTGCTGGAGAAATGCAGTCGTTATAGGGAAAAAGTGTTGTGCAATGATTTCATGGTTAGGGCATGGGAAGGAAGATTTGTGGGAGGAGGACTCTTACGGTGAACAGCAGGGTATTAGTGGTAGGTACATGGAATGGCATGTGAGGAGAAAAATGAGCAGAGTTTGAAGCAATCAAAGACAATTTGTGTTGTCATGGCAAAAAGAAGGAAAGGGGCAAAGGAAATGTCTGAAACACTCCACAGAAACCAAAGAAAATTCTTTATCTTCTGTCTAAGGATTTGGTGCCTAAACTGTAAATGTGAGCCTAGTGGCCCTAATCCCTTAATACCTCTCTGGGAAAGGATTTTGGTAGTGTTACTGACTTACAGAACAGTATCTGTAGAGCCTGTCAGCATCAGAGCTCATGTAAAATTATGCGCATGGTGACACTTGTCAAACCTGTTTCCCATCCAGCTGCTTGCCAGATATTTTAAAAAACATATGTAGACATAACACTGTGAATGTGTTATTGACAAAGGTCAGTGTCACCAATGGCTTGCAGATAACCTATGCCTAAAAGATCCTCCAACACTTCTACTGCAGAGGTTCTCAAACTATGGTCTGAAGGAAGATGGCACACAAAGTCCACAGGAGCATCGCCATGTTGCTGTAATGTCATTCCCAACAGCAGTGGCAATGCTAGAGAAGCAAGCTGGATTTGGGAAACTTGTGCTAGGTTTACAAACTTCTAGATTGACTATTTGACATAGCTTTTGTATTGCTTTGCAAAGAAGATACAGTCCTGTGGTAATACTTGTGAAGAAAGGGTCTGCTCATATCTACAGCAATCCTTGTCATGCAAAAACTCGCCTGTAACTGCAAAGTGACAACTGTGTGAAATTCTCAGTGTTAGAGTTCAATGATGTTGCATGTTTGAAAATAAACTTATTGCTTCTGTTTTATTCGTGTGAGTTGATGTAGTAGTGATTATTTTGACAATTTGCTGAAGAGTCTAATGGGGTAATTGTGCTTTTTCAGTAGCTCAACCCCTTTGTGTTAGCAGTTTGGCAGCAGCATAGTCAATTTGTCAATCAGTTTTCGCTTAATTTTGGTGGCATTTGAAATGCCACCACTTATCTTTAAGGATTAATTTTTGAAATCATAGGGCCTATAGCTCTGGATTTTGGAGCCCTTGGATTTTTTAAAAAGTGAAGAAGTTACCATACTACATTAACATTCATGCTAGTGAGCAATGTGTATTCTATGTTATGTTAATTTATTCTAACAGTCTCAGACAAATTGGGAACAAATTTGGAAACAAAGCAGGTTTCTTTATTTTTCAATTTTTGACCACTTTAACAAGATAATCACATTTCTGCCTAACTGGAACATTACTTTGTCTTACTTAGTCTTACTGTTTCATTCCAGAGCTAACAGGGTTTGGGCCCTGGTTAGGTTTTAGCATCAGTTTACTGTTGGGGTTGCTATGCACTGATCACTTTTTCATTCAGTGGGTGAAAACTTGTACATTTAAGTGGCTGGAGAGAAATTCTGCTATCCTAAGGTTCAAAGTCAATGGATTGCAACTGCCTGTTCATGGAAAGTTGCTACACTTTTGTTTCAGATAATCAAATTAGTGTTGCTCGTGAGTTTCAGGTTTTTGTAGGGTGTGCTATTTTTACACCTTTGGAATTGCTTTAGGGCCATTTGGCATGCTGGTGACTGAACTGTGTGGTGTGTGCAGGAAGCACCTACTAATGTACTGCTTTCCTAGGACAAGTGAAATCTCTTTGAAACTGATGACTTAGATTTAAACTGATCATCCGAGAGAAAAACAGTAGTGCTGTCTAATACATTCTTGTTGATGAGAGCATGAAAAGGAAGTAGATTTATTGGAGATGAACTTTCTCATGAATAGTAGGATATTTATGCTGGGTGCCTGGAGTGACAGCTGAAAAGGACCATTGAGAGTTAGACTTAGGAGCAGCAGAGGAAATAATTTGAAATCAGTTCCTTAACTAATCCTGCTTAAGAGTAAGTTTGTAAAATTGTTTTTCTGCTGGAGGATTTTGGTGGCTTTTTTAGGAATTATTTTATGCCTCTAGTTTTGAGGACTCCCCTCTGGTTAAGTATTTCCAAAGTAAAAATAAAAATAAGTTAGGCCATGTCAAGGCTGACATACAAGATGGCCTGTGAAACAGAAGACTGGATTTTAAAATAATAGAGGTAGATAGCTAGGCAATGACTTTGTGATATTTTGATTTCTGTAGGTATTAGTATAAATTAATGAGTCTTGGACTATGGTATTAGATAGCTCCTAAGTGCTTAATGCTTCACTTCTAGCTGTGGTTTCTTGTAGAAGATTGATAACTGCCAACATCTGTTCAAAAGAGAAGATGGGTGGATTAATTTCAAGATGGAGGGTGAGTAAAATCATTTAACAATCCAAGAATCTTCAGTCTAGAAGATGGGAATAAACAGGACATGTCTCCTAATGTCTATTTGTTAATGCTGGTTAATGTTAGTGCTAAACTTTTCCTATTAATCTGTCACTCATAAGTCCAGTAGTGAGACATAATGACCAAAAATGTTCTCTGTCCTAAACTGTGAATCCTTTATTTCCTTTGCAGTACCATGCCTGGCAATGGTTTGATTAACTTAGAAAAGCATAGTTTTAACTATTTCTGTAAATATAAATTGTTTTGTTGTGCTACATCTGGTATAGATACAACAGTGTCTGTGACTTGAAGACTGGTGGCTATTTTAGGTAAAAATGGATACAGAGTATCTTTCTGTGTCTGTGATAACAAATAGTTTGGTAGCTACTTATGTATATACAAGTCTTTCTCCCTAACTTTTTATTGGCTTGTATGTTACTGAATGGTTTACTAAACTTGAAGGAAGAAACATGAAGTTTTTGAATACTTTCCTGACTGGTGTGAGTTTTTTTTTTAGTCTAGGTTTGCCTTTGCGTATTATCAGTTGATTCAGAACCTTCTGTACAAAAGTCCTTTAAAGACAGAAGTTTAGGTGAAATGCCAGTTTGCTGTAAGAGAAAGGAACTCACTTTTGAGGTGATATAGTGTAGCCTGTGGTTTTTGAATTTGTGACCTGAAGTGTGCAGGAAGATAGTGGTCTTACACTTCTCAGAAATTAGGAAAGATTCCTAGAAGGTAGATTCCAAGTTGCTCCTAAGGGGAATTTTACTGGAGATAACATTTACTTGCAGTTGCTTATGGTTTGTTTAGAGCATGTGTTTTTGCATGGAATGAGTAATAAGAAAAACTTGAAGTTCTCTTAGGTTAGTGCTTCCTGTATACATTATCTTTGTTTTGTCAGTTACTTCCACTAATCAGTTCTCTCCTTGTTTTCCGTCCCACCCACACATCCATTACTGCAGACATAAGTTTTCATCTTTTGTGGTGTAGAAGAGCCTTAATAGTAATATCAACTGTAAAATAGTGATTCATTGCAGTTTTCTTACTACTAAGTAGGAACATTTCCTGCCTTGATGTAAAATATACATTATATTAATCCATTATGAATTTCTTTTTGTTTGAAAACTGTTAATGTACAGTAATCCTCAAAATATTGATTTTATTTTAGTGTGATTAGCATCTTTGTTCTTTTTCTTGTAAACAGGCAAAGCCTTCCACTGTAGAAGTATTAGAAAAAATTGATAAGGTGGGTATTTGCTTTTTAGTGTTTTTGGTGTTTTCATATAACAGTGAAAAACTACACCTTAAATATTTATTTAGAGAGCCTGAAATGGGAATGAATGTGAAGTTGGCTTGATTACATGATTTAATTATAACTAATGGTTAAACTCCCATGTAATGGAAAATATCGCTAATGTGAAGTTCCATTCATCAGACCCTTTAGAAAAGCTTTGTATGGTTTAGAGTGTAAGAAGAGTTGTAACTGTAGTGGTAGTAAGGAAAGTTGGTGCAGAATATCTGTTTAGCTAGAATTTGTGACAGCTGCCTGTATTCTGTGGGGAAATTAACTGTTTTGAAATATGTTTTTGATATTTTTTGTTTTCCTTTTAATGAAAGTGTGAGTACTCCTGTTGTCACTTGAAATGCAGTCAAATTAGTAACATAGAACATTGCTTGATCACTTATTAATATGCCAAAAGTGTAATTCAGATGTTCAGAATTTTACTCAGTGTGAGGAAAGTACTGGAATGAAAATGTGTGAAATGACTAAAGATGTTAGAAGCATTTGAATTTCCACAGGTGTCTGATGAAAGTTCTATGATGAGAAGTATGGTTGGTAGTGAGTTACGTGGTGGCAAAGACTGACATTCATAAGATATTAGCGTTTTCCACTTGTCCCAAATACACTAACACATTACAAATAGGAAAAAGTGCTGATTTGTAGTATTTCTTCCCAACAGTGATGTGTTACTGCTAATACAGGGCAAGTGGCCCGTATCATAACCTTAATAGTGTAATATATTTATGCTATAAAAGTTATCTTTGGGTAAATATGGTAAGTTATCAAAAAACTGCTTGACTTTTCTAATCAAATATCAAATTGATATGGTTGATTTTAGCAAACACTTAAAGGCAGCTTAGTGAAACCACCAACTAGTTTCACTAATAAAATTGAATCGTATTTATTCACAGGAAATACAGACATTAGAAGAATTTAGAGAAAAAAATCAGAGGCTACAGAAACTATGGGTTGGAAGGCTGCTTCTCTACTCTTCGCTTCTTTACCTTATCACCTGCTTAATTGTATATTTGTGGTGTCTTCCTGATGAATGGACAGCAAGGCTGACTATGACACTTCCATTTTTTGCATTTCCATTAATGTAAGTGAATATGTCTTTCTTTTTCCTAACTGCTGTCTTTTTGATAAAAGGAGGTGGAAAATACATCTCAGTAGGGGTTTGGGTTTGTTTTTGACAATCCTTGACTTGTCAAAAGTTGCAGAATTTTTTTCTTTTAAAATAAATCCAAGTAGTTAGGCATACACTGTCTTAGAGGGAAACGTCTCATGGGTCTAGGTTTAGTGTAGAACTAAGTCTCACCATCAGAAGATGTTAGCATCTAAAGTTACTTGGCTTATCAAAATTATATTAGGGCTAGAGAGAGATCTGTATCAGAACAGCTTCAAGGTAATGTGATATGAGCAGAAGAGTATATTGGGTTTTATTTCTACTGCTGTTTGGAGAAGTAACACTACTATATGAAAGTGACCTAAGATGTTGCCTGTATGTAAAATGCAGCATATAAAACTGGGAAAAAATACAAGAATAAATGGAGAAACTTACTTTTACATATTAGGTGACTGTAAACATAGAAGAGAGATTTAAGGTCATCAGTCTAAGTGTATTGAGGACACTTATCACACTATTAGCTGTTTTTCTGGAAGATCATTGACTGCTTTCTTCATCCAGAAAAAATCCTAACATCTTTTGATGTGAATACGAAGACAGTATTGTCTACTTCTTTGTTCCACTGAGCTGACTGGCTGCTCATCCTCAAGAATGGCTTTTGTTTTCTAAGAAAACTACATTTCTAAAAATAAAAAAATGGTCTGTCAATTCACTAAACAGTGACTTGCTTGCCTGCCCTTCCCCCAGATCATCAAGGAAGAGAAGCAGCCTACTGAACTTCTTTCCTACTGATGGGGAGCACAGTGCATTTACTTAATTTGATGAAATGAACATAATAAATACTGTCCGTATTTGTACAGCATCTTTGTGAGAAAACATGGCTTACCAGTGTCCTAGTTTTAGACTTGAAAGCAAAAGTCAAATGTAAATATTTAAGTTCAATTATGGTGGGTCAGCACAACATTGCATGCAAGAAAATACTTGAAGATGCTTTTTTACATCATACTGTGTTATGCATAATGTAGTAATATGCTGCTATTATGAAATCCTGTGGAGAAGATACAAGGGCAGCAGTATCTTCACTGGAAAGGATTAACATAGAAATTAAAGCTCAGGTTAATCTTTGGCACCAGTATGATTTGTTTTGGTGATTTTCTATAAAATTTTGAAATAGGCATCAGCTTACTAACATTTAGAATTACACTGTTCTCTTATGACATGCAACTGTTTATCTGATTTTTCTCTTAAGCTATTCCCCTTCAGCTTTTTTTGGCAGATATGAATGGCAAGCAACTGCCAACTTGTCTTTGTTCTCGGTCAAGAGGTGACTCCGTGCTGAATGCCTGGTGCCACCCAGTAATAGCTCTAGAGATTTTTCAGCCCTAATCAAACTGGAATATGTCTGCCTTTTCTGGCTTGCAGTCAGTCACCAACTTTTTTCTGCCTTAGGTCATTCCCTCAGGGTCTTGGGCAGTTACGGATGCTGGTAGTGAGTTATGTTCTAAGAATATATAACATCATTAGTTTTAAATATATTTTGAAATATCTGAAAAGTTTAAGAAATGTGTTAGCATGTTAGAAGGATGCTTTTCTTGAAATGATTTTAATTTGAATTAGATTGTTTCATCTTGCATGTTTAGATGTTTTGAGAATTATGTTTTTATTTTCTAAAATTGGTCCTAAGTGGTCTGTTAGTAAAGTTTCGCCTCAAATTTTTTAGAGATGAAATGCTTTTTTATTTCATGAAGTCCTACCATGTATCTGTTAGCTTGGAATACAGCTTTAGGTTGAATACTGTTTATTATGCATACAGAAAAAAGAAACAATGCTTTTACCTCTGTAACATAGTCTTTAAGGCAATTCAAACCCTGTAAAACATTTATTTACTGTGATACTCTTTGAAGAGGCACCTATTGCATTGCGTAAGTGGGCAAAGCCATCCTTAGAGCAGTTATTACAGCACACCTTTGAGTGTGGAATAGTGTTAAGAGTTCTTTCTCCGTTTCTCTGACCTTGGATAGGTTACTCAAAAGTAATTCCAGTTGCCTTGTCTTACCTAAATCAGGTTGTGTTATTAATATTTGAATGCATTTTGAACTGGGCAGCCTTTATATAAATGCCAAAGATGTTGTTATGAATGAAGATGAAACTGTACTTGAAATCTCACAGCCTTTTGCCTGCTTCCTTATGCTAGCTGTTATTAAGAGAACATTTCTAGCCTTTAAGAATTTTTTTAATAAGTGAAGCATTGCTACTTTAGGCTTTATTGTATAGTGCTTGGCACTAGGGAGGTTTTGGAGAAGATGCTTGGAAGGGCTTGAAGTATGAGATTTGCTACTTGCCTTAGGCTGAATAACTTGCTTGGAAAAACATCAACTTACTAATTATTAGCAATTCTAAGCTTTAAAACAAATGAAGTCCTAATGATTGTCGAGAGACCTTTCAAATGTAAAATGGATATAGATCAGTTTATCTTGAGTGCAGATAAACTGCTCCATTGTTTGAGCTAAGTCAGCTGAAACCCTTTGGAAACTGAGTGGATACTGGTGGCTCAGAGCTCTTGAAAATTGCCAGGAGTCAGGTCAGCTAACTCTAGTAGGGAGAGCAGTTGTACAATAGCTGTAGCTCATGCTTTTCCTTGGTATTGAATCCTTCCCAGAAATCTCTTGGGTCTTAATTTTGGGTCTTAGCTGGTAAACTTGGTTTTCTGAATAGCATGCATCATAAATCTATCAGGTAAGAAGTGATGACTAAGTAATTTTCAGCTAGCTGCACATACCTTGATTTAAAAAAGTTCCCTCTGAACATTTTAGCAAGTGATGATGTTGCTTGCTGCTGCTTACTTAGCATTTCTACCTATTGTAATAGGCAGGAGGATTTTATTTAGATCAATGTTGATGTCTTGTTAACAAGATACTAATTTTTAGTTTTCTTTATAAATATTGTTTGAAGTTTTCTGTTCTTTGTGTTTGCTAAGTTAAATCTCATCTGGTAAGTCTTCTGTTTGCTAAATTACTTCAGAAATGTTTACTATAATATATTCTAATTAATATATTCCTTCTGTTTTAAAGAATCTGGTGCATAAGAACACTGCTCATTTTTTTCTTTTCCAAAAGGACAGAGAGGAATAGTAAGTATTTTTTCAGCTTTTTTTTTTTTTAAGAATATGGAACTAGTTGGGAATTATGCTTGCTATGAAAATGTAAATATTTTGTATAAAATGTTAGTATTTTGGAAGAGTAGCCTTTTAATTGATGCTGAAATGGGTAGCATTAGCTAAACTGTTGTTTTTACCATACAATTCTTGAAATAACAGGAAGGAAACTGCTTTGTCTTTCACTTTGCTTACAAAATAGTGTTAACTTCCTCCTGTCTTTGCATGCTTTGAAGTGTAATGGAATAAAATGTAGTGTAGAAGTAAGAGTGAGGGAAAGGAAATATAAACAATAATAGTAGTTTCTTTAATACTCGGATTATGCAAGTATTCCAGCAGTCTTAATCTCTTATCTTTATGTATCAGAGATTTATAGCAGATATGTTTATTTGTAAAGATAGCTTTTCCTTTACAAGTTCTCCAAAGCATGCTTATGTTTTCCTGAGTGGAAAAGGGATAAGCAGGTGTTTTTGTGCTGTTTGAGAGTTAAGAAAAATTTGAAGTCATGTAACAAAAAAATAATGGAGGTTTAAAAATGTACATAAAAACTTGTTAAAGAGCATATAGATTCATTCTAATGCAAAATTTAAAAACTGCATCTGTGGCACTTGTCTGCAGCCGTTTAGAATTAATTTGAGACTTTCTTTGAAAGCAGTCCAGCCTGTAACAATATCTCATGGTGATGTGAGCAATAATACAGGGAAACCTAAATGTTGCACTGTGTTTTATGACTTGCAGAGCAACGTGATGTATTTAATTTGTGACAGCTTACAAGTTAAACATCACTTTTGGAATTTTTCTTAAACTTAATGTTTGTATTTGATATGCAAGCATAGGACATACATTTTTATGTAGAAATAAAATTGTCCATATATTCTGTGGTGCAGTGTGATTCATTTCTAAGTTGTATATGCATTTGCATTTCATGACTGGATAAGAAAAAAAAAGTATGTTTTTCTAGTTTGCTTAAATGTCTTTATTACTGTTTTTGCAAGACTAGTGCTTCTGTTGAACCTGTGTATAAAGGGTTTTAGTAGATGTTAGAGCATGCCAAAAAGAATTATTTATGCATTGTTCCAGAGATTGGGTAAAAATGGAATGTTTTAGTTAAAAGATGCAAGTCCTGTATTTGGAAAAGAGAAATCAAATATGCAGTGCAAGAGTTAGAGCAGTGTAAAGCAGGAGAAAATGTACCTGAGAGAGCAAACTGGCAACTAAGTGACTCAAAGGCAGCCTTTTATTCTGGGATAAATTATGAGATTGAGTCATTGGAGATGATAATTTAATGCTATAAAGCTCTCTACTGGATAACCAGCATGCGCCAGTTGCTGGAATCATGCACTGACTGAGGAAAATTCCTAATGAGACACAAGGACACATCACTAGTGATGTGGAGAGGTTATGGAATTTCGTTTTTTAAGACTGGTCAGTCAAACAGCTGTTGCAGGAGATTTAGGCTGATCTGTCCCAAAGTGTGGAAAAAATAAATGAGATGTCTTGCAGGTATTGGGTTCTCTAGTGGAAGTTCTTTTTTTCTGTAGGTTTCATTGAGATGAGATATATTGGTTTCTAGAGAGTGTTTGCAGCAGTTGCTATTTGGCCAGGTTTGAAGGGGTCAAGTGCTTAATGAGGTTCTTGTTGAACGGAGGAGGTAAGGTGATCAGAAACAAATGCCCTTACTTTAAACTGTAAATTTCATTGCTTTGTGGGAGGCTACGTTTGGAGATGTTCTAGGTATTTCTGTATCCAAAGCAGCTTTTTTCTTAAGTAACTGTTAGCTGACCATATTGTGCTTTCATTGTTTTATTCACCTGTGTGGTACCATGCTGCATTGCAGTGTTTCAAGGTGTTAGTTTGCATGAGAGGCTGTGTTCTAATGTAAGTGTAAAATTTTATTAAATACCTTATTAATTTGAAGATGCACAATTCCTGGAATTGTCCAACTTCTGTGGTCCAGCCCAGTGCTAAATGCATTATTGTTCTATTTTCTATATGTCTTAACTAATAAAGGATTGTTGGTTGTTTTAGTTAGTCTTTCATTGCATAAGCTTTCAAATATGTATGTGCCAGGTTTTAGTATTGTGTACATTTAGTGAAGTGGTTTATACTATGAGTTTCTACCTTCTGGAAAAGCTCAAGCAATTATGCATTCTCTTAATTTCAAGCAACAGTAGTGTTCCTGAGGTAATGTTTAAAAGTAGGTATAGAATACATATGTATAAATATACAAAAAAGTATGTATTTAGCTTGTTAGGTTTTGGTTTTGCTTCTTGTAGTTTTATGAAGCTTTTTTTTTTTAAAAAAAAAGCTGAAATATATCTTACATAAAGTGAAGAGCTGGTATCCTGTAGAGCTGAGAAGAGAAAAAAGTTGTAAGTTTTTTGTTAAACTCTTCTTGCTTTGAAGGAGGTAGTAGAAAATTATTTATTGAGAGATGATCTTGTATATTGGATGATGATTTATTACAGGGAGTTTTCCATGAGTGCCAAGCTGCAAGGCTTGACTTAAAGAAAAATCCCATGTGCATTTAACCTTTCTTCTTTCTCTTCCTTTTAGAGAGGTTAGGTGCTGTGTCTACTAGTTGTAACAGTCTCTTAATATTGAGTAGTAAAATGACCTTCTGGTAGCTTTTCTTACAAAACTGGGAGCTTTGCTGTACTCTGAAAGTATTGAAAGGGTGAAAGAGGTTGAGATTTAAGGTTCAGAACTGACCTGGCATTTGTTACTAGTATGTGTTAAGAAGCTTACATAAAATACTGAAGCCAAGTAAATCTAGTGCTCAAACAGATATATTAATACTGAGACCTCAAGTTTTTTTTCTGTAGTTTGACTCAAGAGATTAAGCGTGTTTGGTTCATTGTTGTACCAGTTTTAATGTAGGTCAGAGCAGGCACTGGCTAGACTTGGTTTTCTTAAGGAGTAAATGGTACATAAAACTTCTTAATAGTTGTAACTGTAAAGTGATAACAGTGAGTTATAATTTACAAGCAGTTTTGGGATTTAAAATTCTTTTTGCAAAAAACATTATTTATTTTATGCAAACTTTACTAATGTTGTAGGATTGGTAGTGGTCAATGCATAGAGTTTCCTTATCTCTTAGGGCAAAGTCAATGTTTAGAATGTGCTGAAATTGTCTCTTGTTTATATTTGAGAGCTAATGATGATGTCCTTCTTTTAGATGATGCACTGGAAGATTTAAAGTCTCAAAAGAAAAAAATAGTAAGTAAAAATATAAACTGGTTCTTATGGTCTACTCTAGAAACACTAAAGTGTTTTTGCATCTGTACAAGTTGCATTTGGTTGTAATATATAGAGGAAGAGCAGAGGGGGAGGAGGTGAAACTATTGCCATTCCTCTGTTTTCGCACATTGTCTAGTACCACAAGGTTTTCCTTACCCCAAAATTAAAAAGGAGTGTTTGCATCTGAGAATAAGTTGGCTGCTTGTAGTTTAACTTAAACCTACTGTTTTAGTGTTGCTAGATCTATGTGAAGTGATTCTCTTATTTTTGGAAATGAAAAATGTGTGCTTTAATGTAACCATTGCTGATGACTACTTCTACTATAGGATTACAAAAATGTGTTAGATATTGCAGTGATTTAAGAACATAGAGTGCAACTATTATAGTTACTCTGTCACTTAATGTCTTGTTCATAACTACAAAAAAGGGCTTTCATCTTGTTTCACTTCTTCATCAAGTAACAGATTGTATCTTAAATGCATTACCACTTCTTTTCCCGTTCTTCTCCATATGTTTTGTACTATATATTTCCTCCATTACATTATTTCCTCTAAAAATGTATCTGCTTATATATATAAAAATTCCATCAGTTGTCTTGAGGGTATCTGTTTTGTGAGCTGTATGGTTAACAACATAGAACTGGTGTATGCCAGGTATTTGTTTCAACTGGATTAACACTTAATTTCAGTAACACAAATTTAGGATGGAGAAGAGTCTGAGTCTTGGATAACATTTACTCTTTGCAAGGCTTGTAACACTGAAAGCTGTCTGTACTTATTCATTCCACAGGGAAGTTCTCTGCTCTGTTGTTGTCTTAATCTCCTGCCTTGAAAGGCAAAACTTTAAAACTGCTACTACTAAAGCACAAAAAAACCCCCAACCAATGCAAAACCAAACACAACAGCCCCTTGCCTCCCAGAAAACCCTAGTAGTCGGATTATGAGACTTTATTGTTAAAAAGTTTCCCAAAGTGTTCACCTTATGCCTTCTGGATTTTGCCATGGTAGCAAATTAATAGAAAACCCACAACAAAGTTACTAAAAAGTAGTCATATAGTAGTCTGGTATTAAACAGCCTTTACAGGGGTTAATAACTTTAAAAATATAGATGTAAAAATTATAACCTGCAACCAAATTATGTCATTGTTCTTTGATAAAGAGTTTTGTTAATATCTGTATCTGTTAATCTTTGTTAAAAATCTATTAAATAGAAGAGTCCTTTGGTTGGAGAGGTGACAAAAAAAGATTGGAGAGGCTTGCATTTTTCTGAGAATGAAATAAATAGTATGCCAGATATGTTTTCAATTTTATTTTATGGAAACTGCTTAGATGAAATTAGTTACTCTCCAATTTACATAGCAGTTCTGTAGCTTTGGAGAGAAAGGTCTTGGAACAGAAAAAGCACTATCACAGTATCATTCTGGTTGGAAAAGAACTTCTTTTCCCGTTCTTCTCCATATGTTTTGTACTATATATTTCCTCCATTACATTATTTCCTCTAAAAATGTATCTGCTTATATATATAAAAATTCCATCAGTTGTCTTGAGGGTATCTGTTTTGTGAGCTGTATGGTTAACAACATAGAACTGGTGTATGCCAGGTATTTGTTTCAACTGGATTAACACTTAATTTCAGTAACACAAATTTAGGATGGAGAAGAGTCTGAGTCTTGGATAACATTTACTCTTTGCAAGGCTTGTAACACTGAAAGCTGTCTGTACTTATTCATTCCACAGGGAAGTTCTCTGCTCTGTTGTTGTCTTAATCTCCTGCCTTGAAAGGCAAAACTTTAAAACTGCTACTACTAAAGCACAAAAAAACCCCCAACCAATGCAAAACCAAACACAACAGCCCCTTGCCTCCCAGAAAACCCTAGTAGTCGGATTATGAGACTTTATTGTTAAAAAGTTTCCCATAGTGTTCACCTTATGCCTTCTGGATTTTGCCATGGTAGCAAATTAATAGAAAACCCACAACAAAGTTACTAAAAAGTAGTCATATAGTAGTCTGGTATTAAACAGCCTTTACAGGGGTTAATAACTTTAAAAATATAGATGTAAAAATTATAACCTGCAACCAAATTATGTCATTGTTCTTTGATAAAGAGTTTTGTTAATATCTGTATCTGTTAATCTTTGTTAAAAATCTATTAAATAGAAGAGTCCTTTGGTTGGAGAGGTGACAAAAAAAGATTGGAGAGGCTTGCATTTTTCTGAGAATGAAATAAATAGTATGCCAGATATGTTTTCAATTTTATTTTATGGAAACTGCTTAGATGAAATTAGTTACTCTCCAATTTACATAGCAGTTCTGTAGCTTTGGAGAGAAAGGTCTTGGAACAGAAAAAGCACTATCACAGTATCATTCTGGTTGGAAAAGACCTTCAAGATCATCAAGTCCAACCGCTACGCTGACTGCCGCATCCACTGCTAAACCCTATCCCCTGGCACCATGTCTGTCTTTTTAGATGTCGCCAGGGATGGTGGCTCAACCACCTTCGCGGACAGCCTGGAACAGCAAGTCCAGCTCCCGCCCCAGATCAGGACAACTGCAAAGTTCACATCATGTCCCTGAGGGTGTTGTCCAAATGTTTCTTGAATTGTCAGGCTTGGTGCCATTACTGCTTCCCTGGGGAACCTGTTCCAGTTCTCCACCACCCTCTGGTTGAAGAATTTCTTCTGAATGTCCAACTTATACCTCCCCCTGCACAATGGAGAGCAGAACAGCTTCTGGAGTTCTAAATGTAAAGCTTTCATTTCAGTAAAATACATTTATTTTTATGTAATAATGAAAATCTTCATATTTATTTTAGAAGAACTAGTAATGCTGTATTTTTGTGTGAGAAGCACTCACAGAGAGAAGACATTGAATAAAAGATTAGTCAGGAAAAACCTGGTTTATAAAGTGGAGAGTGCTTTACTTTGGGAATTGATGCTGTTGAAACAAGATGTAAATGTGTATTTTGCATTTGCAAAAAAAAAGCACAAGGTAGTAGAGCAGGCAATAGTTATTCACAAATACTTTGTGAAAAATAGATAAGTTATTTTGTAACTGTAGAGAGTTTAAACCTGGAAATAGAAATTGCCATTAGTTATATGTGCATGTCAAGCTTTAATCGCTACAGACAGATTTCTAAATAGGGCTAGTAGAAGGGTTCTGGGAAGTCCAATAATCTGTAACTCAGCTATTTTTCAATCTGAGGGGAACAAAGTCCATGATTACCTCCTGATCTTGTGGATGCCTGGTTCCTAGCAAAGAACCAGAAACAGAAGACTTATTGCAACCTCGAATCAGTGCTGTGTTGGTATTTTTTACTCAGAAGATTGGCTCTGGAGTTTCATCGTAATTTAAAGGTATTCAATTAAGCATCAAAATTAGGTCATCATACGTGAAACCTAGCATGTTGCAGTGAGCTGAAAGTGGATGGAGGTAATGGGACAGACTATAGTTTGCATTGTAGATAAAAACACTCATAAAATTGCGTTCTGTAATATTTTTGTTTTGATAATACTCAGGTTTGATTTTGTTTTGGATTAATTTATTTAGAAATATCTGTGTCTATCAATAACTGTAGCAACACCTACTTTTTAGTAAAACAAAAAAACCTTTAGCAAGTAAAATAATGAGAAGGGGGATGGGAGAGGATATACTACCTGTTGGATTTTGATTTGTTGCTGAGTTTGCAAATAGATTAGCTACTAACATATTTACATTGTGATCCTTGAAGTATCTGGGATAAGTAAATTATGTATTTCCTTTTTCTTGTAATGCAAATTGTTGTCTAGGCACTGTCAGCCTGCCACAACAGCTATGATTTTTTCACTTCATTGTAGCTCACCTGCCTGATTGCTGGGGAAATATTATATTGAAGACATACTTTTGAAAAATTTTACTTACTTGTCTTGAACAGGCATATGGTCCACCCTTTCCCCGGTGACATTAATTATATTCAGAAGTGTACCTATAGTGGAGTAATCTCCTCATCTACTAGATACAGTGTCCTGGTGTCTGTGCAATGAGCTGCTCAGTAGATCTTCAGTTCTGTTCAAAAGACTTCAGTTTTTGGTGGCATAATCACTTGGATATTAATGTGGATAAAATACTTGACTATCATAGATATCTGGAAATGCCCATTAATATTGTCTATTCTGCACTTTGACTCAAAGTTTGTGTAATACTTATTTTCCACAGAACTGACTCTGCACTACTTTTTTCCCGGTGAATGCTTTAAAACATGTTCAGTGTTTCTTTATGGATTGGGTGTAGGGATTAAGTTCATTAGCTATAACTAAGGCACTACTTCAAGATACAGTTTTTTCCCCCTTGATCATATGGAATATTCTGGTTATGTTCGTGATTATGTGGCTGTAATTTTGGCCATAGCATTCTCAGTTAATGAGAATGTTAGCCCTTAGGTCTGAATGTGAGCAAGTTCAGAGGGCTGAGCATATTAAAGCAAGGGCACAGGACATGTATTAAGCTGTTACAAGTAGGAATTAGTGGAGACTTTACCTGGAGCAGCAGTCTTAAAGATGGGATAATTCTTAGCCTGAGGACAGAGTTGTGAAGATAGTACAGTAATTACTTCACTAATGTTAGAATAAACTTTGCTGAAGTTTGCTTAGCTATTCTGTTACGGGAGGCTGAGTTTTATATTAGACTTAGACTTCCTAGCCATTTCAGGTAAGAGTTTAGAAAGTTAATGTGTATAATTTTCCAAGAAAAAATAGAGGAGTCTGATTTCAAGGCTGCCTTGGAGTTCTGTTAATATTAGAAAAAAAACCAAACCAGCAAATACATTTTGTATTTAAAAAACTACTGTTTAATGAACTTTATGCCTGGAATATGCAATTCCAGGCATAGAAAGCTGTAGATATTTTGATAACCTTCAGTACATGAGAAAAACTCCAACAGGACTTGATTGTAGTATAAACCCAGTCTTGCCTACCCAATATATGCTAGACTACTGCAGAAGTGCAATTGGAAGCTCAAAATGTGGTTTAACCCCATATTTACTGGTGAATGATCAAATAAGGTATTTTTTCATGCAATGTTTACACAAAACAGTTATATTGGCTTCCTGTTTGCATGGATCTATCCAGAGTACACTGTATTGTTGTGGCTTAAATTTTTTTTTGTATTTTAAAGAAACTTTAGCCATGTTTACTTGTGTGTCATAATGGTAGACTGAAATGAATCTTGTGGTCCTGTGTGAACATAAAGAAATACCTCTCCATCATTTCATTTGACATACAAATACAATTTAAGAACTTGCACGGTATTATGACCAAAAAAGTAGTTTGTACCATGCCAAAACTTTCAGTTGCTAAATCTCATTTACAAGAAGCTTAAAATACACTACTTATTACTTTTCAATATGGGCTAACTGTTGTTGTTGCCATTGGAATTCTGTTTGGTTGCCAGTTGGAAAGGGGGCCATCCATGCAATTATTCATAGGAGAGAATGTGATACATGGCCATGCTCCTTTATTAAGATGTGGTTAATTTAATGAAATAAGTTTGAAAAATACATTATTTGGCTGTTACTCACTGTAATGGATACTTCACATGTTGGTTTTGGTTACTCATCATTTAAGCTTGATAGTAATAAATTATGAGTTAACCCTTGGCAGAAAGTAGAAAATGTTGTAGTGGGAAAAGTTTTGGATCTTGGAGAAGAGTATGTTATGGAAAGAGAGGAGGTGTTGAGCAATTTGTTGTTTTAGTGAGCCAGTCCTCAGCACTTGGTTAACCTTTCTGAGGTTATGCTTCAGGATGGTGAATCCAGAAGTCAGTATGTTGATTTGCATTTATAAATGAGCTTGCTGTGGCAGTGCAGAAGCCAGTATCTTCTGCTGTGCAAACACAGAGATAGTATTGAAGTTTTATACAGGCCCTTAGTTGCTTCTAGTAATTATACTAATTTGTTCAAAAAGTAAGCAAGCTTTGACCTGTTTGATTCCTTATTTGGTATTGTCAGACAAATTTAAATTGATTTTTAGAAAAATGCATTCCAGAAGTGGAACCATGAGAACTGTGAATATGTGAATAGAAACCGTGACAATTTCTAAACATTTTCAAGAAATTTGGAGTCAGTTATGAAACTGATTTCTTGTTCAGTTTCAGCTTTACTAGAATTATAAGCAATATATGAATTTCAAAATATGTAGAGTAACTTGTTGAATTATCCAGTAACTATATAATATGAAAAATAACTTTGGCATCTGAATCCTGTGAAAATTTTTCCATTTCAGAATAATGTTACTATTTTCAAAACTTATATATCCACAAATAGCTACCATTCTATCTAACACTAGCAAGAAGTCAGTTAAATAATGGAAGTAGCAAGTGATGGTGGTGTGTTCTGTTTTTTCTCTTCCTAAAGGTTCAGAAGATTATTTCTCATTTTCCTATGTGGCTATAAAGACAACTGCATGTGTTATATGTTGGTTGATACTAAGTGACTCTGTTTTTTATTTTGATTTGGGAGCCAGATGTTGACACTGTTAACACTTACCCACTTTGCAGCTTCACCTCACTAACCTTACTCTTTCCTACCTTGCCTTACGGTTTTTGATTTTGTAAGCAATAAATACTTAATTTTGCCTCTTAGACCCTTAATTTTGATCTTACTGCACTGTGTGGCATTT